TTACTTTCAAAGAGTCGGGTTTTTTTTTTTTTTTTTTTTTTTTTTTTTTTTGCAGAAACTGATTTAGAAATAGGTATGGGCAACAAATTGGCTAAGTTATCGAATTCACCCCCTCTGCTTTGAGCTCCCTTCTTGAATCGCACCAAACGAAATAGATATTCAGAAAGGAGTCATCTATCATGCCGCTAAACTTGTGGTTTTTTGACACCCTTCCGCCCTTCATAACGATGCGCCGAACTCCCCTCCTATCGCAAAAATTGCTGCTAAGTGTATCTCATTCGATCTTACAGGAGGAACAATTTTTCGAGACCATCGCGAATTCAGCCCCAATTTTACGTAAAAATAGATATTTTTTAGTTTAGTGTCGTCATGAGTGCCTCAAAGCTCAATGATTTTGGTTTACATTGTCGACACTCCACACTCCACAGCGATCTGATGGCTAGAATCTTGCGCTATTTCGACGGCGGAAAAGCAAACTAAATTAAGTACAAATATTTATTTAAAAAAAACACAAATACCCTCGCGTTACTGTTTTATAGAATGAACACCAGTATACATAAAAAGAAATTAGTTTAGAGTTCTTCTTTAACGTGAGGAGGCCTACCAATTGTATTTTAATAAGAAAAATTTTAGAAACAAGAGATGCAATGAAATTTTCCGACATCTCTCTAGCTGTCGAGTTTTCAATTGATAATGCCTGGGAAACTAAAAAGAAGGACTTTCATAAAACTATTTTAATACCTAAACCTTGGAAACTATAAGACTTTCACCTTAATTTTTCCAAAAAATTGCTTGTGACATTTCCTTGCACACGAAAAAAACTTAATTTAAAATAAAAAAAAGAATCATACGTAAGTATATGAGCTAAATTTGAAATGTTAAGTTATTCGTTACATACAGGGTGATTCAAAAGTCCCCGCATCGTCCTTGTCATATGACTTATTTTTCCTCGAAAAATTAAAATAAGAGCCGAGATTTTGAAATATCGCAATGGTGATACGTAGTATCTCATTTTATCCATCGACATGGAGTCCTCCTAAACAAGGAGAGCGCGCTTGTAGAGTGACTATGAAAATGACCGCAAGATACCGTCACCTTCCGGCCAAAGTATCACAAGCGACGTTTAAAAATTTCCGCCGCCATTTGATGCTTTTACAAAAAAATTGTTCAACGAAGATGTCCGAAAAATTCGCTGAATTTTCTTTGTGGCGCCAATAATATTCAGTGAAATTTTCAAACAGATTCAACCAGCAATAGAGAATTTGCAGGTGTCTTAAATTTTGTGAGTTTCATCTTTGAAATGATACTGCTAGGAAAACTGAGTACGAGGACATCCTTGGTTTCTAAATTGGACAATTATTGGAGAAAATACGGCAAAATAACCTAATCTGCTAGAATACATGTGTTTAAATGGAAAATGCCGCCATATGACGTCATATGGCGGCGGATTTTCTCACCTATAAATCTATTTTTCTCCAATTTCCCATGTCAGAAAAAAATTATTAAAAAACTTTGAACTCAGCTCATTAAGCACTCTCAGATGAAGCAATAACAATTGGACTACATTTTGCAATTTGGAACTATAGATTCTAGCTTAGTTTAAAAACAACGTATGTGTCATTAGTTTCCCTATGCACTTAAGTGTTTTTCCAGAAGAGCCGGAATTTATAGTCCCAAATTGCAAAATGCAGTCCAATTTGTATGAAAATTCTCCATTTCTCTGTAAAAAAAAAAAAAAAAAAAAAAAAAAAAAAAAAAAAAAAAAAAAAAAAAAAA